GCCTGTGTTCGAGGTGTCTCTGGCTGCCAAGGTGATTCATGAGCGCATGACAGGAGAAAACAGAAAGCAAACTAAAAGTCTCTCTTTCTTGGGAGGGTGTGTTTTCAATTTGTTATTTTGGCCTCATTTTTGAATTTGTGTTGTAACCTAGGCTTTAAAAAGCCTTGTAGAATCACCCCATTTTGTTTATTTTTTCCCCAGTTTGCTTCAATCCAGTTTCCAGTTAAAATGCAAAAGGAAGCTGTCAGTCAGGTGTAAGAATAACACAGAGATGAGCACTGGTCCATGTTTATTATAGATATTTCAAATATGTGGGTACAAGTTCTTCTCCCCACCTTTGCCTACTGTGCTCAGGAAGGCAGCCTTTCTACGTCAGGTTATCTAGTTTGCTCAATAAGGTTCCTCTAAGTCAAAATCCATGAGATATTAAAAGTCTGCTAAGTTTAGTGTTTGCTACGAGTGGTTGACCTCCCTGAGTGAGATCTCAGTCACTCTTTATTCACAGCTCAGCATTCAAACTGCTCACCCATGGCTTTCAGTCATACACAAAGAGTGCCTGCAAGAGGCTTGTCTCATGCCATGAGCCTCACTTATTCCAGGCTCAGTCCAGCATCCTTCCCACTTGTGGAAATCCGAGAAAGAAACTGTTGACTTCAATAATAGTTGTAAACAACTTAGAAATGTGTGGTAGGTTTTGGTCTAGCGTGCAGTAGTTTGTGACTTGGCTTTTTAGCAGAGAAGCAAGTATGAAGGAACACCACATCTCAGTTTACGTGTGCAGGACAACAAAATCCTAACCCCAACCACAACACCAAAAAAACCACTTTTGTCAGATTTGTTTGTATGATGGCAAAGAGAGTAGTTGTAAGTGGCAAGAGTCTCATGGCATATGTGTTGCTGCTGGGTGGCCACAGCACTGATAAGTTAACTAGAAGGAACTCATGAAGGTTTCTAGCCCAGCTGCCCCCTTGAAGCCAGACACGGCTGGCACTGGAGCAGGTTAGCCATGTTTTCACCTTGCCAAGCCTGAAGACCCCCGAAGGCAGCGAGGGCACTGCCTCCCCCCAGTGACCCATCCTGTCCCACCCACCTTGTGTTGCCAGCATTTCCTCACATTCAGCCTGGCTCTCCCAGGGCTGTCTGCAAGCTGTGAAACCCCCCTGGTAATCAGGCGGGGGAAAGACCGTCTGGGGAAAGGTTGACATTGTACCCGGCCTTCAGAGATAAGAAAGAAGGGGTGTAAGTGCTGAACGGCCACCAGCTAAATATCTGGCAGGTACTGACTGGCACAAATCAGTATTTATTCTCCAATCCACAGGCACAGAGGACTCTTGCTGGCTCAAAGCTGGATTGTTGAGGACAGTACACTCGAAGCTAGATCACTGAGGAGGTTGCATTCCTGGCCTTTCACCGCTCCCCACCTGCTAGACACGATGCCTGCTCAGTTCAGGGCTGGAGCAGAACATCCGTGCGGTGGTGCTGCCTTCAGCCACCATCAGAGTGACTGTTGTACAGCAAAAGCTGTGCTCCCCATGGTGCACCGGCCCTCTAGAGCCAGTAACGCAGGGTTTAGCATTTCAGTCATGAGCATGGACTGGTATTCTGGAGAGAAACAAATGGGCTCGCAATGCCGGTTCCTCCAGATGAACGGCACCCGTTGCAGCACCCTTCCCTCCACAGCTGCAGCGCTGCCCTCCCGTTGCTTCCCACAGCACCTCGGGGGCCGAGCCTGCCTCGGCCAAAGCACAATGTTATTCGAAGCCTGGCCCCAGCCGAGCAGTTCAGCAAAGGCGAGAAACCAAAAAGTGTCGGAAAGTAGTTTCCGGTGGCTCTGAAACAGCGCGGGGCTGCCCGTGCTGCTG